GGGTGGGCGTGGCTGCGGTGGTAACGGCAGACTGGGTGGGACTAAAAAGTTCAATCAATCAATTCCAATTTTGCAAGAAGTTTTTTTTTCCCGCGAGAAGTTGAAATTGGTTGAACCTTTTTTTTTTTTGCACACGGCGGCGGAGGCCTAAAGCGAAAAGGTTTTATAAAACCCAGCTGAAGGCCTAAGATTGGGGCGATGGCGCGCGTGCCCACAGAGAGGGCTCTGAGTGCCGCCTCTGGCACCCGTGCCATAGGTTCGCCACCACTGCTATAGTGTGTTGATGAAGTAATACAAGGGAAGCGGGTCAGTGAGTTTGGGGCACAGGGATCTGGGGCTCTTTGGTGATCTGAGGACAGAGTTTCAGGGTCCTGGCCTCCGGTGTGCCCCACAAATCAAGACACCCCCTCCTTAATTTTTTTTTTTTTTTTGGCTAGGTCGGCTTCACCAGTGCCCCAGGGCAAGGGGGGATCCTGGCCCAGCGAGAATTCGACAGGAGATTTTCTCCACACTTCGTAAGTAATCTGACTTACACTCCTAATTTCCGTAGTTGGGAATAACGTGAGTACAGGTAGTCCCCAACGTATGACTGATAGTTTAACAACAGTTTGAAGTTCCTAGGGCTACTTATGATCCAGAGTCAGAGTTCCAAAGGCCACACATACACAAGAACTTTGAGGCTTTGTTTTCCTTAAAGAATCCTTTTATTGCTACATAGCTTCAGCACGTACATAATGAAGCCAAAAACTGAATCCTCCCACCCCCAAGCATAACTCACTCTTTCATTTTACAGTCATCAATCACGTTCTCCAGTTAGTTTGAAGTGGGAACTTTCCCTCCCGTCACTCCTCTGGTTACAACTGACCTTGGAAATACTGTACTGAAATATTGTTGTGGCTAACTATCCCCCGAGTACATACTTTCCCACCCGCTATTTTAACATTGTCTGACTTTAACTCTAGAAGTGATATACAGGTTAAATAACACATGCTTGCTTCTTCATATATGTCAAGCAAGAACATCCGATGTTAGCAGTCTTGACACACACGCACACAAACACATTTCGACCGCTTGGCAACTGCCCCGCGTTTACGGCTGTTTGCAGTGTCCTGCACTCATGTGAACTGTAGTTTACATTTTTTTTGCTGTGGGAAAAAAGCTGGTTTCCAGCTAAAAATGCCCCTAGGGACAATGGATTTCCTTAACGATCGTGGTGTCCACCATTGCAGTGATTCCTTTAGCAACTGCCCAAAGACGGTTGTAAAGTCGGGCACAGTCGTGCGGTGCCCCGTTTTAACAACTGGCAGGTCGTACGAGTGTGATCCAGGCTCAGTTACTGTCATAAATCAAAGGATACCTGTAATGTTTGGATGCAAAACGTGGCATTCCCCAGAGAATAGCTTTTTCCCATGAGGGCCAAACCAGCAGAACCGCAGGAGGTTCTGGCCCTGGAACACACCATGTACTGACCCAGGTCGCGTTGGCAGATGCAGGCACCAATGAAGTCTTTTTATTGCACTGCTATACCGCGCGACGGATGGCCCTGCACCAGCCGATAAAGCTTCACCCCAAACTTTCCTGAAGGCAGCCAGTGCAACTCAGTCCCACAAACTAGATCTGAGAGTCCCCAGAGCCGATTCACAAGGCAAGGGGGAAGTCTGTAGTTTGTAAACAAGGTTCTGAGTCCACAGGGCAGAAGCACCGTCCGAAGTCAAAAGAAGCAGAGTTTACAAAGGTCAGGGACGTGCCCGCTGAAGCAATCCATTGTTCGGCCTGTCTGCAGCCGATCCTCCCCTGTGTTTAACCACTTCCCCCAGTGACAGAGGGGCCTGGGACAGCATCCTCCTCACCCCTGGACTCTCCAGACATTCCGGGGAAGATATGCAGCTCCCCATCCCAGCTGACCACTTCCTCCAGGGCCGGAGGGGCCTGAGACAGCATCCTCCTCACCCCTGGACTCTCTAGACATTCCAGGGGAGATGTGCCATCCCTGTCGGATGGCCCCAGTTCTAGTCCCCCCCCCTCCTCCTCCTCCTCCTCCTCCTCTTCTTCCTCAAAGCCCCCTCCCTTCTAGCATTGATGATGTTACCTAGTTGGATCATGAAATGTCTGCAAGAAAATAACTAAGCTCAGAGAGCACCAAGGACCCCACAGTCCTCTTCCTCCTCTTCCTCCTCTCCTCCTCCTCCTCCTCCTCCTCTTTTTCCTCTTCTTCCTCAAAGCCCCCTCCCTTCTAGCATTGATGATAATGTTATCTAGTTGGGTCATGAAACGTCTGCAAGAAAAGCACCAAGCTCAGAGAGGACCAAGGACCCTACAGTCCTCCTTTTCCCTCCTCCTCCTCCTCCTCCTCCTCCTCCT